AACAAAGAATGATCACGTCGCACGTTAATGAAATAATTGTTGGCATGAAAATAAATACTTATATTAGTGGAACAAATGGTTTGTACTTAAGTGGGAATCTTGGTAGGCAATGACTCAAAGATTAAGCTTACAACTGAATAATGGGCCTGGTCTCGACTAAAACTCTAAATAAGCTTATGTGGATGGAACACCAAACTAGTGAGAATTATCTTTTATCCCTACTTTTTAACTTTCAATTTCAAAAATCGGGTATCACTATCTTTTTATTAAAAATCAGGTATATTCACACCAAGCCAAATCAAACCACCTCATCCCACACCACATGACCCACGAAACTAAACCCTTCCTACGTAGACTCTCTCAACCAAAGAGTGATTTAGAGTTGCCACCTTCACTCCACCTAGAACGACCATCTTAAATCATTGGACCCACCACCTACCACCGACAGAATCACTTTTCAAACATAAAACCACTTCGATTGGTTCCATAGTACCATGTGGAACCCAAAATCAATAATTTTCAACTACGGGATTCAGTGAATCCCAAAAACCTTAACTTCGGCACCGCCAATGGGACACATCATCGTGGATGGCGTTGCAATTCCATTCCGCCATTATTCTTGCAATGGGGGTTCGTCAATTGGACTAGAATCAGATTGGGAGTGAATTTCTACGTTATAATGCATGTAAAACCCTTGGTAGGCTATTGTGAGGTGGCTTTAGATCTATGATGAAGATAGGAGTGTGACCATTCTAGTGGTAATTGTAAGGTGAGGTGTCTTTTTTGTCAAATAAGTAGGGGATATAGTATAAATATTTTTTCGTATGTGGACTATAATTTGGTACAAGTTTAACACAACAAATTATGTTAAAACACAAATGAAAAAAATGGTAGATTAATCAAAATAAGAAGAAGAATATTATCTGAGGCAAGCGATAACGCTATTTCCTTAAGATAAATTTGCCCCACAATGGTGCCAACGGAGTAACGACAATTGTCTCCCAAAATACAACGAATTACTTGTAGTAGAAGTATTTCCAACTACAAGGCAACAACGAACATGAACGGGTTTTCTCTCTACAAAGAATGACTTTGAATGCAAAGTTTGGGAGAGTTTTGGCAAGGATTTTTGATGCAAGACTCAAGAATATGAATTGGGATGGCTAAATGATGTCAATGGGGTCCAATTTATAGAAGATGAGGGGTTGCAGATGGATAGACAAGCCCCAAAACTTAGCAACCTTCAATAGGGGTCACAACCCTTGTTGTCGTTTGCCTACTGCTGGCGTGCCACTCGAGCACAAAAAGCAAAAACCCTCTAACTTCCCGACATTGGCTGCCAGTCGAGTGGTAGTCTTAGGTGCTGAAAAATCAATTTTCCTTCCAACTTTGGGCCACAATTTCTCATCCATCCGAAATTGTGTTTGAGATTCCAAATATACCACTATCATCTACTCAACAAGTAGAATAAGTTAGTCTATTTATTTTCATAATTTGACTATCGGATCAATTCCAAATATTTGGCTGAAATTGACACGAAAGTCACTTTTCACATTTTTCATGGTTTGATACCCAACCAATTTCATTCCTTTTAAAACCAAATTCCAACAATCCCCAACATGAATGAAGATTTCAAATATAGAAATGATATGCAAATGCTTGTAGAGAGAAATATGTAAAACATTGTTTTAATAGAGGTAGCTTCCAGCATTGAAACTTTCTTAATGAAATACTATCGAATTTCCTTGGCTAATTGGCGAACGAGATAGCTTGAACCATTAAGCCATTGGTGTAAATTAGGATAATAGTACTCATACAAATATCTTCCTCAAATCATTCTAGTTCTCATTATTGTGTTCATTTTGACCTTAAAACATGTTTTTTAGATAATTTTAGTTTCGAACAATTCTCATCAAAGTGGCCCCACTTCACACTTACATAGATAACGACCTATTAAGAGTATTCTGCCCTACTCAACTTGACTTAATCAAGATATATGAATCATTAAAAGTGTATCTTAATTTTTTAACATTTGCATAAAGCACTTTCAGTAACATAGGAATGAGTATGAATAATTTTTTAAGTGCTTTATTGAATCTTCATAACTTAATTGTCCCCTTGAATCAATATCTTGAAATCTCCAGTCAACAAGGTAGGGTTACTATTACAAAGACTTTTACGTAGTATACTTTAATCACATTTCTTTTGATAGGCAACATATTTGATCTCTCTGTAAACCTTTTGTAAGTGGATCCGCGATGTTCTCCTTAGCTTTCACATAATCTATGGAAATAATACTAGTTGAGATCAATTGCTTAATGGTATTGTGTCTACGACTATATGTCTAGACTTATGATTATACATGTTGTTTTGTGCTCTTCCAATAGCCGATCGACTATCACAATGTATACTTATTGCAGGTATCGGCTTAGGCCAATATGGAATGTCTTCCAAAAAGTTGCAAAAGTCATTCCGCTTCTTCACTTGCTTTGTCCAAAGTAATAAACTTTGATTCTATCGTTGATCAACCTATACAAGTTTGCTTTGTAGACTTCCATAACACAATAGTCCTACAATGATAAATACATAACCACTAGTAGATTTGGAATCCTTCATGTCGGATATCCAATTTGCATCACAATATTCTTCCAATACCGTATGATATTTTGTGAAGTTTAATTCAAAGTTTAAGGTATGTTTTAAATACCTAAGAACTTAGTCAAAGCCTTTCAATGATCATAACTTAGATTACTTGTGAATCTACCAAGTTTAATCACAGCAAATGCTATATCCGATTGAGTGTAGTTCATAATGTATGTTAGACTGTCTATAACCTATGAATACTTTAGTTATGCCACTAGTTTACTCATATTCTTGACTAAGTGTAGATTTTAAGTCAATAGGGGTTTTCGTAGGATTTCCCTCAAGTACATTAAATCTCTTAAATACACTCTCAACATTATGAGATTCGAAAAGTACAATTCCTTCAAATGTTCTACAGATCTTAATCCCTAATATTATATCAGCCACAACCATGTATTTAATGTCAAAATATTTCGTTAACATTTTCTTGGTATGTATGATTATTTTGTAACTATTGCCCTTAATTAACATGTCGTCTACATATAAACATACAATTACATAGGCCTTTGGTGTATGTTTTATGTATACATAATTGTCACCCTAGTAAATATTAAAACCATTTGACAACATTATTTTGTCAAACTTTTGATACCATTGTTTAGGAACTTTTTTCAACCTATATAGGAACTTAGGGTCCGTTTGATTACAATGGTGGAAAATGGGTGGAAAGAAAATGAATTTTAGGGAAAGTAATTGCCTAGAAATTGTTTTTTAGGGAATTGTTAATTAAGTGTGTTTGATTGATATAATTTTCCACCCGAAAAATTTTAAAATTTTGTGTAAGTTTGACTTTGTTTTATATGGAAATTGTCCATTAAAGTGATAATTTTTTCCACAATTGTTATAAAATTTGTTTTTATTGCCAAAAAGTAAAATAAAGGAAAAAAATTTCCTACAAAATCATTTTTTTATCAAAATTTAGTGTTCGTTTGACTTTATTTTACATGAAAATTGTCTATTAAAATAATTTTTTTTAAAATTGGTTATGAAATACCAAAAATTGTTGAAGCTATCTTGAAGTTACAACCAAGCCATCCAAGGGAACACGATTTCTGGCTATGGGAACATGAAAAATCAGGTAATTACTCTGTCAGTAGTGCATACAGATTTTTCAAAACTTATTGAACTCCAGATCGTGGCACTTTTTCAAATGCAGTTGTGAGAAAGAAATTTTGGGATACTATGTGGCGACTGAAACTCCCTCAAAAAATAAAGATTTTTGCCTGGAGAGCTTGCCATGAGAGTTTACCCTCAAAACAAAACCTGATTCATAGAAGAATCCAATTGCTTCTCAATACTGTTTTTGTGATTACCAAGTGGAAGACTTATGCCATATTCTACTATATTGCCCTTCTATTCATCAGTCCCTCACCAGTCGATTCCCAGAGCTAGAAGATAAAGATTATCCTGGAGGTTTCATGCAAGTAGCAAATGACATACTGACTGAAATCTCAAAGGAGGCCTTCATGGATTTTCTGCTTATTACCTGGGGCTTTTGGTTCCGGCGGAATAAAATGGGCAATGACCAGATTGATCTCCCACTACAACAAGTGATTGATGCAGCTCTAGCCAATAAACTTGCTGTTAAATCGGGTCTTCCCCAAGCTACTACCCCATGAGTGTTACCCCAAAAATACAGATGGTCCGCTTCACCTCGGGATGCTTTCAAGATCAATGTTGATGGTGCTTTGTTATTTGATTTTAACAAGGCTGGACTTGGAATTATTTTACTTGATCATGAAGGAGAAACTGTTATGGCTGCTAGTGGCGCTGACAACTCAATCCTCGAACCCGAACACGTTGAAGCAGCTGCATTTTTGAGAGGACTACAACTATGTCTCAACATTGGCATATCTCACTTATTGGTAGAGAGTGATTGCTTGTTCTGATAGAGGAAGTCAACAAACCAGACTTTAACATCTGCATCAATTCGATCAATGGTAGCTGCAGTACAGGAATTAATGCGAAGATTTTCCCACTGTAGTCTCCAACATTGCAATAGAATTACCAATCAAGCAGCTCACTATTTGGCACGGCATGCATGGTCCCTTGACGATATGGTTCTTTGGTGGCATAGTGTCCCTACATTCATTGAAAATGTAATTTTCATAGATAAACACTATTGTAACCGTTTCTAAGGCTATTTGCCTTCGTTAATGAAATATTTTCTCATAAAAAAAAAAAAAGTGTACATTGGTCTTTGATGAAGTGATGAAAATTTGGCTGACGTAAAAATGATTACATCGACTCTGGCCAATTTAAAAAGTACCCTTCGTATTTCTTATAGACTAATTGACCCAATCTTAGCGATAGCTTAACAGTCGCCTACACTCGCCGCACCGCCGCAACCCATGTCAATGACCGCCACCAGGTAACCACCCTTCGTCAGCGCTACATTAATTGGATAATATAATACAAAAATATGTTTTAACATTTGCACGATGTAACGTTTGATAATAGGAGAATGAGAGGATTCAAGCGCTGGATGAAGTGTCAAGGCATAGAATGCAGCGACGCCCTCAATCTCGCAATCGCCGCAGAATCCCCACAATCAATCTCAGTCTCAGTCGAAGCGTTATGCGATTTGCGAGTGGGCGATGTGGTGGCGAGGATTCCCAAGCAGAGCTGCCTCACCGTGAAGACGTCAGGTGCCCACCAACTCATCGAGGAGTCCCAGCTCGGCGGCTATTTGGGCTTATCCGTCGCCGTCATGTACGAGAAGAGCCTTGGTCCGCAATCGCCCTGGTTTCAATATCTTCAGTTAATGCCCCCCATCGAGCCCATTCCATTGCTGTGGAGCTTCCCTGAAATTGACTCCCTCCTCTCTGGCACTGAGCTCCACAAGGTTAGTCCATTGTTGTTCACCCAATATTAATCATGTTTCATGTTTGGCAAGCTTATAAAATTGATAACTTATAAGCAAATATACAAGTACAGGGCATGAAAAGTAGCTCATTTTTGGCATGCGCTTATCGTCCAAGTAAGATGGAAAGAAGCAAGAAAGATGACACTTTTAATGGGGCCAAACATGGAGTAGTTACTGCTTTTACCATTATTAAAAAAAAAAAAAAAAAAAAGCCAGAAACCTATGGGAAATGAAGTCCCACAAAACAAGGAAAAGGGGCGCGTGGGTGGGGGGTGGGAAAAGATTTTTCATGGAAAATTTTTGCCATCAAATAGCAAAAAAGTGGGAAAATGGAAAAAGAATCAAATAGGGCCTTAATGAATTTACAAACCTTTTCGTTTTTGGCTAGGAGCAATGACTCCTTCATGTTGCTCTATGTATATTCCCTCTTCTAACTCACCATTCAGAAATGTCGTTGTTACACAACCTTAACGAAGTGATTCTAATCACATGTGAGTAGGTGTCAAAAAAAGAAGTCGAGTTTACATCTTCTCAACTCATCATTGGATATCTCGTTGAATTGGAATCGATGGGATAAGGTACCCGAACTTCAACCTGATTCATTGCTTCCGTACCATAAGCCATGGAGAATGGGGTCACTCTAGTTGGGGTCTAGGTTGTAGTCTGAATTGCCCATAGTACATGTGGTAGTTCATCGACCCACGCTCTCTTGGAGGCTTTAAGTTTTCTCTTCAAAGTATAGTTACTGGTTTTGTTTATAGCATTTCTTTGTCCATTCGCTTGAGGGTGGCGAGGTGTCGAAAAATGCTTCTTGATCCCAAGTTCCTCACATAAGTCCCTGACCTTTTTGTTATTGAACTGATGGCCATTATCTGAGATAATTGAATAAGAAATTTCGAACCGGCATATTATGTTCTTCTACAGGAATTTAGAATTGTTAGCTTTTGTAACCTTGGCTAGAGGTTCGGCTTCTACCCATTTTGTGAAGTAATCAATGACAAATATAGCAAAGTTTGAACTACCCCTACCCTTTGGTAAAGGGCCTATAAGGTTAATTTTCCATTTGGTAAATGGCCATGGACTGGATACCGCTGTTAGCTCCGGGGAGAGCTGTCTTTGGATAGGAGAGAAACGTTGACATTTATCACACTTTCGAACAAACGAGTCTTTTTTCAAAGTGGGCCAATAATACCGTCGTCGCAGTTCCTTTTGTGCCAACTCGAGTCCTGTCGTATATCTCCTCATGGATTTGGTGGAGGACTAGGTGTCTTCTTCCTCCCCTAAACATCGAATGAGGGGTAAGGAAAAACCTCTTTTATAGAGCACATCATCTTGGAATACAAAGCTGGCAACCTTTCTCCTAAGTTTGTAAGCTTCATCTTTGTTGTTGGGGAGCGTTTAATCTTTAAAAAACCAATATTGGTTCCATCTACATAGGCATTCCTTCTACCCACATCACCTCATTTTCTTTGGAATTGGAAGGTTCCAAGAGATGTTCAATCGAGAAGATCGTTAGTAGTTTCGAGTATTTGCTATTAGCCAACTTAGACAAAGCATCAAAGTTGGCATTTTTGTCACGCGGAATTTTAGTCAACTCAAATTTTTCAAAAGACGGGAGTAAATCCATCACCAGTTTGAGGTACGTTCCCATGCCTTTATCTCTAGCCAAGAAGTTTCCATTAACCAACTAACACCTAAGAATCACTATTAATGAACAACTTTCTCATTTGCGTTTCTTTGGCCAACCTTAAGCCGACAAGTAATACCTTGTACTTCGCCACACTATTAGTACCTTGAACCCGAATCTCACTGCATAATTGAGCTTGTGTCCTTCAGGGCTGATCAAGAACACTCCTGCCCCTGAGCCTTTGTCCCAAACGAACCATCCATGAATAGGTTCCATAACTTCGTCCATTACAAAGATGTTGGCAAAATTCTACCATGAAGTTTGTGAGTGCCTGACCTTTGATAGCTATCACGACCCGTCCCAAGTCACCCTAATAGACCTGACATGTGTCGTGCACCGATGGTACATATCAATTAAGTGACGGACCTACCACCAAGGCGACTAT